CTGTCCTCAATTCTTTTCATTCTTTTTTCTTTATTCTTCTCTGCAGTAGTTATTTCCACTATTTTATTTTCCAGGAAACTTATCCTTTCTTCTTCCTCAGTTATTCTACTATTGCTTCCTTCTAGAGAATTTTTAATTTCATTTATTGTGCTGTTTATCATAGTTTGTTTGCTTTTCAGTTCTTCTTTGTCCTTGTTGAACATTTCATGTATTTTCTCCATTCTATTTCCAAGATTTTGGATCATCTTTACTATCATTACTCTGAATTCTTTGTCAGGTAGACTGCCTATTTCCTCTTCATTTTTTTGGTCTGGTGGGTTTTTACCTTGCTCCTTCATCTGCTGTGTGTTTCTCTGTCTTCTCATTTTGCTTAACTTACTGTGTTTGGGGTCTCCTTTTCACAGGCTGCAGGTTTGTAGTTCCCATTGTTTTTGGTGTCTGCCCCCAGTGGGTAAGGTTGGTTCAGTGGGTTGTGTAGCCTTCCTGGTGCAGGCGACTAGTGCCTGTGTTCTGGTGGATGAGGCTGGATCTTGTCTTTCTGGTGAGCAGCACCGCGTCCGGTGGTGTGTTTTGGGGTCTCTGTGACCTTATTATGATTTTAGGCAGCCTCTCTGCTAATGGGTGGGGTTGTGTTCCTGTCTTGCTAGTTGACTGGCATAGGGTGTCCATCACTGTAGCTTCCTGTTCGTTGAGTGGAGCTGGTCTTAGTGTTTAGATGGAGATTTCTGGGAGAGCTCTCGCCGTTTGATATTATGTGGAGCCAAGAGGTCTCTGGTGGACCAGTGTCCTGAACTTGGCTCTCCCACCTCACAGGCACAGGCCTGACACCCAGCCGGAGCACCAAGACTCTGTCAGCCACACAGCTCAGAAGAAAAGGGAGAAAAAAAGAAGGAAAGAAAAATATAATAAAGTTATTAAAATAAAAATTATTAATTAAATAATTTAAAAAAATAGTAAGAAGAAAAGAAAATAGAAAGAAAGAAGAGAGCAACCAAACCAAGAAACCAAATCCACCAATGATAACAAGTGCTAAAAGCTATGCTAAAAAAAAACAAAAACAAAAACAAAAAAAACCCAAAAATGGACAGGGAGAACCGTAGGACAAATGGTAACAGCAAAGCTATACAGACAAAATCACACAAAGAAGCATACACATACACACTCACAAAAAGAGAAAAAGGAAAAAAATATATATATCATTGCCCCTGAAGTCCACCATCTCAGTTTTGGGATGATTCGTTGTCTAGTCAGGTATTCCACAGATGCAGGGTACATCAAGTTGACTGTGGAGCTTTAATCCGCTGCTCCTGAGACTGCTGAGAGATTTCCCTTTCTCTTCTTTGTTCTCTTCTTTGTTCGCACGGCTCCTGGGGTTCAGCTTTGGATTTGGCCCCGCCTCTGTGTGTAGGTTGCCTGGGCGTCAGTTCTTCGCTCAGACAGGATGGTGTTAAAGGAGCAGCTGATTCGGGGGCTCTGGCTCACTCAGGCTGGGGGGAGGGAGGGGTACGGAATGCAAGGTGAGCCTGCAGCGGCAGAGGCCATCATAACATTGCACCAGCCTGAGGCGCGCTGTTCGTTCTCCAGGGGAAGTTGTCCCTGGATCACAGGACCCTGGCAGTGGCGGGCTGCACAGGCTCCCTGGAGGGGAGGTGTGGCTAGTGACCTGTGCTTGCACACAGGCTTCTTGGTGGCTGCAGCAGCAGCCTTAGCATCTCATGCCTGTCTCTGGTATCCGCGCTGATAGCCGCGGCTCACGCCCATTTTTGGAGCTTGTTTAGGCGGTGCTCTGAATCCCCTCTCCTCGTGCACCCCGAAACAATGGTCTCTTGCCTCTTAGGCAGCTCTAGACTTTTTCCCAGACTCCCTCCCGGCTAGCTATGGCACACTAGCACCCTTCAGGCTGTGTTCACACAGCCAACCCCAGTCCTCTCCCTCGGATCTGACCTCGGAAGCCTGAGCCTCGGCTCCCAGCCCCCACCCGCCCTGGTGGGTGAGCAGACAAGCCTCTTGGGCTGGTGAGTTCTGGTCGGCACTGATCCTCTGTGCGGGAATCTCTCCACTTTGCCCTCTGCACCCCTGTTGCTGCGCTCTTCTCCATGGCTCTGAAGCTTCCCCACTCCGCCACTCGCAGTCTCTGCCCGCGAAGGGGCTTCCTGGTGTGTGGAAACTTTTCCTCCTTCACAGCTCCCTCCCAGTGGTGCAGGTCCCATCTTTATTCGTTTGTCTCTGCTTTTTCTTTTTCCTTTTGCCCCACCCAGGTACATGGGGAGTTTCTTGCCTTTTGGGAAGTCTGAGGTCTTCTGCCAGCGTTCAGTAGGTGTTCTGTAGGAGTTGTTCCACGTGTAGATATATTTCTGATGTATTTGTGGGGAGGAAGGTGATCTCCACGTCTCACTCCTCCACCATCTTGAAGGTCTCCCTCAGTGTTTCCCAGTCTTATTTGAATAAGGAACATTTTTTAATATCTCATGGGACTAATATTTAATGAAACATAATTTGGAAAATCTAGTCTTAGCTCCTTGTTATGTTGAAAACTTAACTCTTGAACTTACCTATTTTTTCGTAATTCAGTACTTTCTAATTTTAACTTTATTATTTTCTTCTACTATTTTCTTTATACTTCTCTTAGTTGGCTCCTGGATAGGATAGAATTGAAATTCATCAGCGTGGCATACATGGTCCTAATTATCTGCCATCAGTTATTCCTGACACTGTCTCCAAATTAACTGACTCATACACAACTAACACACTTAAAAGAATCATACTTTCAGGTCTGAATGCCTTTGTCTATGTTTTCTGTCTACGTTCTTCTCACATTTGTCTTCTTCCTTCACTTGTCTGCTTAATAAACTGTTTTCCATTTAAAAGATTTGCCTCGGGCTTCCCTGGTGGCGCAATGGTTGAGAGTCGCCTGCCGATGCAGGGGACACGGGTTTGTGCCCCGGTCCAGGAAGATCCCACATGCCATGGAGCAGCTGGTCCCATGAGCCATGGCCGCTGAGCATGTACGTCCAGAGCCTGTGCTCCACAACGGGAGAGGCCACAACAGTGAGAGGCCCGCGTACCGCAAAAAAAAAAAAAAAAAGATTTGCCTCAAATTTTATGAAACTTTCCTGACTCATATCTGTTACATCCTTTTATATAGTTTCTGGTTCTTTGCCAAAATTCTTAACCTTGCCTTTCATCTCCTTGAACATAGTAAACAGCTATTTTAAAGTATATACATGGTATCTTTACTATATGTATCCCCTATGACTGCTTCTATTACCTGTTGTTTTTCATAGTTCTCTTTCATGTAATTTTGTTTTTGTATGTCTGATTATTTTTAACTGTGTGTTGGAATTTGTATTTGAAAAATTGTTTGTGGAAATAATTTGAGGCCTAGAATAGTTTTATATTCCTCTAGAGAAAACTTAATTCTGCGAGAGAATTAAACCTCTAATGCCCTAAGCAGGGTTGCCAGATAAAATACAGGACACTCAGTTAAATCTGAGTTTCAGATAAACAATGAATTTAGTGTAAGTTCATCCCAAATATTGCACAGGACATACTTATATCAAAAAATTATGTTGTTTATATGAAATTCAAATTTAACTGGATGTTCTATTTTTTTATTTGCTGATCTGGCAACCCAAGCCCTAAGGCTTCTATTGTATGTAATAAAGGAGCTTATCTCCTGTTCATTTAGATGATACTAGTTATGTGAGAATTGAGAAAATAATCATTCAGATAATTTTCTTTGTTCTGTAGTTGAAATGAGGAGACCTAATTGAGAAGGGTCCCTCTAGGGAGTGCTTCTGCAAGGTACTTGGGAGCACTAGTAACACAGTATCACTTTAATACAATTTTAAGGATTGAAATGGTTTGAAGCTAGGCTGCAGCCCCTGTGAGAGCTGTTCTACTTTTGTCAAAAGCTCTGTTCAGCCTCTCATCTCTCTTCCTGAACTGACAGATGCCCTCAGGAAAAAAAATCAGCTAAGTGCTGATCTCTTATCTTTGAATTTCTGTATAGGTCTTGGTCTTGTAATTTTTCACTATCCTGCTAACTCTCTGATGCATTCAAGATTTTTTAAACTTTCCAGCTTTTCTAGTTGCCTTCAGCAGGAGGGTTGGCCTAAATTACTTAATCTGCCATCACTGGACTCAATGTGTAATTTTAAAACAGCAGAAGAAAACTCATGCGAAGAGTCTTTATTGAACTCTAGGTCAGGATCTGTTTGAGTACCGTAAAATACTCTTTTTAGGAAGGAAGGGAATCAAATATTCTATATCTAGAATACTTGATATTCTAGATATATTTAAGTATGCTTAAAATATACATGTTCTGAGGCTAAATATAAAGTTTATATAAGGGATTTTTATCTACTTGGAGACTAACAAGCTTGAGTTTTAACCAATTCATAAATAGTATAAACCACGTCTATTTTAGTGCTTTGGGTAATATCTAATTACGTGGGTAGAATAGAAAATTAGATGAATTTTGAAACGCTTAGTATTTAAACCAAAAGTCCTATTGCTGTCTTCATGTTTTCTAACTCACCTAAGGCTTAAAACATTTGAAAAGTATACTAAAAGTAACTGTAATGTAAACATGAATTGGAGAATTGGTTGTCTCCTTGTGGTACTGTGTATGGCACTTCATGGTTCTGTCAACCATCTAAGAAACACACCACCATACACCTTCTATTTATACATTAATGCATGTCAGAATCCATCTTCAAGTTGTTTTTCAAAGAGAAGTTTGTGTTTGCTCTTATAGTTTAATTCTTTAATACTGTCCTTATTTTCTTCCCTAAGTAACGTAACTAGTACACAACTCATTTCCAAACCACAGTGTGTTTCAAAACTAAATATTTTTACCTTTAAGTTTTTTTCTCCATAGAGAGCACATTTGGTATCTCTGTTGATGATCAAATCTTTAAGTGGTATAGTTATAAAAGAAGCTATTAAACTTATTTTTTTGATTAGCTTTAATTAAACTCTTTAAAACATGTCTTAAGTTTGTATTTCTGAAAATTTTTTTAAGAGTTATGAAGTTGCAACCGCCCTAGAAAATCGAAGCCATAAGGTTCGGTATTCAGATTCAGTGGAAAATGGATCAATTATATTTTCTCTTTCTGGTACAGTATATTTGCTAATTTCCTTGATTTAAGTTTCTTAATAAATAAGTGTAAATTCTAATAATTTGGTAGTTCAGTAACTAAGTAATAAGCTTAAGGTGTTACCTTTTAGGAGAGGTAAATGTATAAAACTTTGTTACTGCTGCAAAAGCAGTACATATGGCCAATTACAAAATATATTCCTTTTTAGATTACAATTGTTGAACTAAAGCTGAACCAGTGGAGTCTGGTAGAGGATGGTACAAACTACTTGCTTTGGAACGAAGTTGAAAATAGAACAAAGCCACCCTCCGCAACAGTCAATACTTAAAATATTACCCATATTAACAGAGGCCAACATCACGATATTGGTCAAAATCCATATACAAAAACAATACAGAAGAATGTTTTTCATAATTTTGTACAAGAGTTTGCTGAACATAATATTGATATAAACAAATACTAACTAAAGGAAACAAATGGGGACAAATGTTTCTGAAATCATAAACCTGTACAACTGTGAGTCATGGGCAAAGTACAGGAAGGAATTAGATTAGGATATGAGAAAGCTAGGGACATGGGAAGGAGGCAGCTCCACTTGTGCTTGGAAAATGACAGAAGTGATAAAAAAAAAAAACATGGAGGTGAAGGATTTTATTAGGATGGTTACAAACAGGCCTGTACTCTAGCAGAGATTTTGGAAGACAGGCACTTTCAAAAGCTCCTAGAAATAGACCTCCAGGCTGAAAATGGCCCAACCTCAAATTCGTCTTTCCCGGTTGAATAGAGAGCCCTATATGCATTCTCTTATTTAATCCTTTCAACAAACCTATCAAAGAACTATTATTCCAACCTTACAGATGAAGAAATTTAGGTTCAGAGATATTATATAAATTTTTAGCTCAGGTTGATTCAATTAGTATAATCACATAGTAGCTTTCCTCAGATTGTGTCCTCCCCTCATCTTTTAAAGAGCTAAGTAGATTGTTTCCCTTCTGGACCATTCTTATAGGCCTGATACTGTTTCAGAGATCCTAGATATCTGCTTACTGTTTTAATTTATATAATAGTTTATGTTCTGATATAAAAGATTCTCCAAAAAATAACTAAAGGCTTGCTTAAAACAACTTTTCTTTAGTTGATTTCCAGCTTTTAAAAATCATAACATGAAAAATTAACATGTAACTAAAATTAGGCATTACTTTCATTGTGGACAGTGACTTAGAGGGAAAAAAAAAAAAGGTTACTGACCAAGAAAGGGTTTTTCCCTTAAATATTTAGATTAAATCATCCTTTTATATACAGAGCACTTCAAAGAACTACCTAATTATTTTGTCATGTAAGACTTTCATTATAGTAATTTCCATTTGTTATGGGTTTAGGGCCTGGACACTTACAGCTATGTTTTACTTATAGTTATTTTTGTTGATTTTACTGAGTTTACAAAAAAAAATTTTATCAGTATGACCAAGTGACATTTTATATTACACTCACCTTTCCTAGGAGTTGCATTTTTATTGATGGATGCTAAAAAATGCTTTATGTCTGCTGAAGAAACATTTCTAGCCAAAATTGAGAAGTTTATTAACATTCACCGAAATAGTTTTTTGGTTCTGTCTGCTGCCCTGCATGGGCCTGAGGAATGGAAACTGATGTTCAGGATTCAGCAGAGGTATGGACAACAGCACTACAGACCTATTTCCCTGAAATTATTTACTTCGATTCTGAATTATATTAGGCAAGCGAATTATGTTTTTCCAAAAGGTAAACTTTATAATGTTAACCTGTCCTATTTAATAAAATGCAGGCCAAATAGCTAGTCTATGAATCAGGGTGACAAGTTTCAAATTGCATGCTGATTTATGGGATTCTCCAGCAAGACTAAATCAGAAGTGAACACTTCTTAGTCAATTAAGTTCTGGCTGTAAAGCCATATCAAATCCTCTGTGGAATAAGGCAGGCATGAATGAATAAACAAATGACAAACAATAAGAGGTTTGTCTCTTCTTTCCACTTAACAGATGTAAGTCATATCAACTATTTAACTTTTGAATTTTTTTTTCCAGATTCCTGGGTAGTAACCTACGGATACTTCCAGTACACAACACAATAAATGCTATTAATCTTATGTGCACCATAGCTAAGGTAAGTCACCTGAGGAAAATGACATACATACATACACACTGATACACTTTAAGGTTCTTGACTTCAAAATGCACACCCTCTACCTGACAATATTTGTCAGGTAGAACTGACAAATATTCTACTTCTGTTCCCCTCAGAGAAGTTGCTATTTCCAACACATGCAACTCTTTCCCAAGCCTGAACTTAGCCTCTCAAGTCTTCTCAATTTATTTCCAGTACCAACTACCAGGATCACTCATTTAGGGCCAAAAGAGCATTTGGCCATATATATACAGTGTTGGCCCTATTGGTTACTTAAATCTTCTTTCAAATTCTAAAGTATAAATATTGGTAGTCATGAACTGTCAGAGTGCATACATACTATTTTATAACTTCACTGGTTATCCACTTTCTTTTCATACTTATTCTCCTCTGTAAAGTGTGCTCCCAACTCCCACAGGCAGAGTTAGGTGTTCCTTACTCTTATACTTGGAACAGATCTCTGTTGAAGCAATTCTTAATAGTATTCTATTTTTTGGCTTGCACATCTGAAATCTCTTAAAGACAGAGATCAGGTATTTTTCTATTACTCTAATAACCCATACACAATACTGATTGATGCTTGTTGAATAAATAATGTTAGGTATTTTATGATGTGACCCTGTAAAAATACCTTATTTCTCAAATAATATTGCATGTTTATATCTTCTTCCAGATCACCTCCAAACCACACATAGATAGCATCTGCTACAGAATGATAACAACTAAAGCTTACATCATTGAGCAAAGTCCAGTTTGGAAAACACTTCAAAAGATAAAACTGAGTAGTGATACATTTAACCCAAATTAGATTATCAATTACAAATGTTCTTTTGGAAGAATATTAAAATAAAATACATACAATTAAAAATGGTTTTATTTTCAGGAGTTCTGTTACTTCCTTTAATAATGTTCAGAAAAGGGACTTCCCCGGTGGCACAGTGGTTGGGCAACCGTCTGCCAATGCAGGGTACGCAGGTTCAATCCCTGGTCCAGGAGGATCCCACATGCCACGGAGCAACTAAGCCCGTGCGCCACAACTACTGAGACTGCACGCCACAACTACTGAAGCCCGCACGCCCTAGAGCCCATACGCCACAAGTACTGAGCCCACACACCACAAATACTGAAGCCTGTGCGCTCTAGGGCCCACGTGTCGCAACTGCTGAGCTCACGTGCCGCAACTGCTGAGCTCGCGTGCTGCAACTACTGAAGCTTGTGTGCACCCAGACCCTGTGCTCTGCAACAAGAGAAGCCACCACAATGAGAAGCCCACACATCGCAACGAAGAGCAGCCCCCACTCCCTGCAACTAGAGAAAGCCCATGCGCAGCAATGAAGACCCAATGCAGCCAAAAAAATTGCAGTATCTGCAAAATGCAATAAAAAATGAGGTATATAAAAAAAAGTTCAGAAAAAATTGGTACATATAAAACTCAGATGCAGTTTCTTAATGATACAAATTAAGTTGGATGAACAAATATTTAATTGCAAATAAATATACAGCATTTTCTAATTAGTCCTTTAGGTTAAAGGAAAAGTCATATGTACTTTTTTATAATACAAGCCAGCCAGTATTTCTAAAATTAATCTTCACAGATGCTTTCACATTGTAACTACTGCTGGAGAGCTGGTGATTGATAGGACTCTGCCCCCTAAGACTCCTGAGGCAGGGAAAAAGAAGGAAATTAAGAGAAGTAGTCAGCTGGTCCAAACTCAAAATTTCTCTCTAAGCTCTCTTAGCTCTTAGTGGTGTGATAGCCAGTTTGATACTAGGAGTTCTAAAATGTAACACAGCATCTAACTGGAACATAAAGTGTATCAGTATTTTTATAAACTCACTACAACTGTATGAATGAATAAAGGCAATTCCAGTACATTTTATGAAGTCATAATATAAAATTATTGATTTGTATTGGATTTTCAATAGTAGTATTTAAAATACACATGGGCATTATTTACCATGTAGATATCTTTTTAAAACCAAACAATACTACTGATCCATAATGTGTCATTGCTGAAACGGATAAATGAGAAAAGCTACATTTATTTTCTATCAGTGTGTTCTACAGAAAAGCTTTTATAAAGGTATTAAATAAACATAATGGAAAATATAGTATATTTCTAGTTTTTATTTAGGGGATGGAGCTTTCACTTTATCCCATATTTTCCTCAGAGGTAGACTTTGTTTTTATTTCAATGAGTTCTTCTACTCGAGCCAGAACACTTTCAATCAAATCAAATGTGAAAAGAGCTGAATGTAGGACCTGCAATACCAAGAAAAATTAGTGTTATTAAGGCTGCCTTTAAAGCAAAACAAAGCAAAAAGAAAAGACTTCAGCTGTATGTAGCTTAGGAAAATTTCGTATCTACCTTAAGCTGCATTTCAGGAGGCATATTCGGGATCTCTTCTCTACCTACAGTTATAGAACAAAGATCTTTAGACTTCTGGACTTCTGTAAGAGAAAAAAAAAATCGTGTCACACTTAATCATTAAAACAACTCTCAGATTTCAATAATAAATTTATAAGCTACTTTAATCATTTACTAATTTAAAAAATGCCAGTTATTTGCGTAAATTAAGCCTTAGTGTTTACTAGCTCAGGATATGCTAAAATCAAGCTATGAACAAACAAAAATATTAAAATTCTGCAACATGTGAATAAATGTTTAGGTGAATAGTATTTTGGCATGTACAGGATGAATGAAAATTTTAAAACTTTTTTCTTCAATATAAAATCAGAAATATACCTGTCACACTAAAAATGACAAAATTTTTAGTAATGCCTACAGAAATACCACCATAGTGAAATGGAAAAGACCACAAGATTATTATAATAGAATTGCTGACTTTAAAAAGTAATTCCGGATCTAAGATTCTTTTTCATAATTTGTACTGAGTAGAGGGTGAAGTGGGGGATGGACCCCACAATACTAAAGGAAGTACAATGACATCCAAACAGAAATACTTGTGATACAATTAGATTCTTAATCAGACCTTGAGGTTTGAAACCAGAATATGCTTCAGTTTGGTTTAAATCTTTGTTAACCCAATTTCAGTGTTAACTGGCATACAGATTTGCCAAGAAACATTTTAATTATAAATAAAATGACTTAGCTATCACAGTTCCCTGTTTGCTCTAAGTTAGACAAGTACAAGATAAAGTTCTTTATTTTGAATATAAATGACAGTTCAAAAAAATATGACTAATTTTTAGACCTAACTGAAAATGAAACTTCACATTACCAACCTTGGCTATTTTTAATTTCTGCTTCATAATGTGCTTTTGACATATTAAGACCTGTATGGAGTGGCTTTAAGAAATTATTCTCAATCTTTTCGAGTTCTGTCCATAATCCAGTCTGTTCGGAAGAATTAATGAAACAATTAGTTATTTGGTTCAAGATGTATTGATTGCCTACTAGTATTAAACATGTGCTGACAGCTGGAGAAAACAGAAATGAGTAAGACATGATCCTTGCCTTTCAAGGTAGAGTTGACTGTTTAATAATACATTCATTACTATATCTAGTTATTTTATCTAAATACCAGTCAAAACAAAAATGAACTTGTTCATACACTCATTACTGTGCCATTTGGATAGCTCCTGGTTTTGAGATCTGCAACTTAGAAGTTTTATCCATGAGAAAATTATTTGAAAATAATCCACACGGTCTGAGACATCTCTCTTTTATTTTTATAAACCATCCCCACAATGACTCTACCTTATAAGTCCCTTCAACTCTTTATCTTTCAAATGATATTCCTGTCACATATCTAGTTCCAGGGGATTCTTCTTCTCTATTGATGGAAACTTTTCTAACACAAAGCTGATACAGACTTTCTTGGGGACCAATATACATGGAGATTTTACCTACCTAGGACAGCTTAGGGTTATTTTGTCATTTGTATTAGAGGTTTTTATTCCAAGAGCATTTCCTCCTATAGTACTACAGGAAGGGAATCATAAAGTCTTAATTAAAAAAAAAAAAAGAAAAGAAGGAAGACAAAGAAAATTCATTGGTATTGCTAAGTTTCCAGGTACTTATTACAAAGGAAAGTACCTTAGGCAAAAAAGGGAAACTTAGGAATCCAGTTATCCTTAACTAGAACTGGATCACATGACAATCTATTTTGTAATGAACTTATTTTGATCCAGGTAGTATATAACATTTAACACATATAGCCCTCCAAAATAAAATCTACACGTCTGTGTTGAATAATTTATAATTTCACTGTCACATATATCCTTTTAATTTAAATCTGTCCTTTCTCATTATTCCTATATTGCTAGGAAAAGTGGAGTTCTTGAGAGGAACTATCAAGAATCCAAAACCTCAAAAATATGCATACTTTTTCACTCAGAATCTATGAACTTAATCTGGGGAAGAATTAAATATGTATGTTATAATGATTCCACTGAAGAGATGTTTATAAAAATATGTTTAAGTAGTGAAAAGTTGTAAGTAATGACAATTTTTCACAACAGGAGCAGGGTAGGTAAATTGTATATCCACACAATGGAAAACTACACAGTCGTTAAAATAGTGTTCTTCAATACATATTGGTGAGTGGAAAAAAGGTTACAGCATGACTCATATAATATGATCTTTTTTAAAAAAGAAGTATGTACAGATTTGCTGGTATAAAGCCTAAAAGGGCATACACTATAATGTCAAAAATAAATGGTGAGATTTTGATTATTACTTTTTGCTTATTTATCCTGATTTTTAAACAATGAACTGTTTTAATTGTATACTTTAAAAAACATTTTTTAGTGTTTTTAAACTTCCATTGAAATTTTAAGTTTTCTTGTCCTCACATGGAAACGTGGGTTATGCATTAGTACAGCAGAAACTTCAACCAGTAGTCACACAGGATGTCAAGTATGTTACTCTACCACACGCACCCACTGCTCTCATTTCTCTTGTGTTCCTCCCTCTCTCTCCAGCATTTTCTTTACCTTTCTCTATCCCGCCCCCACTTTTTTAAACGTTGTTTCCCTTTACCTCTAAGCTTAAAAGTAGAACCCACTACTACTGGCCAATATCACGGATGGCTTTCAAGGCTACAGAGGTTACTGATGACCCTCTACAGATTAAAACACATTCAGACATAAAGAATATAGAGAAAACACCTTTTTACTCACACCTAGCTTTGTCAAATGTAAACATCCTACCGTATTTACTTTACAAAATACATTAGATATGGTTGAAGCCCTCTTTATCCAAGAGAAAGCCATTAACTAAGCTATGTAACATTTTCTAACACTTGAGGTTTTAGTATTCTTAATTTATACAATATATCACAGTTTTTCATGTTTAAAACTTATACAAATGATATCACAGTGTACATATCCTGCGTTAGCTCCCTTTTGTTCAATCCTGTTTTTGAGGGTTATTTATGTTATAGCTCTAATCCTTTCATTTTAATTGGTATATAGGCATCCCATTATACTATACCTTTTATCCTGTTACTAGTTTTTTTAGTACTTCAAACAATGCTCCCTGAAATTGCTGCATATGTTTTCCTATTCACATGGAATAAAAGTTTTTCTAGGGTAGCGTTTTTCAAAATATTTTTACCATGGCCCACAGTAAGAAATATAATTTACATCACAACTCACATTTATTTATATAGTTGAAACAAAAGTTTCACAGAATGTCCTTTCTATTTATAACATCAAATATAGCCTGGTCCTTTCCTTTTTATATATTATTTTTTAATGTCTGGTGTATTAAGGTATCATTTACATACAGTAAAATAAACATTTTTTAGCTGTACAGTTCTGAGTTTTGACAAAGATATATAGTTGTATAACCACCACCACTATAGTTTCATGACCCCAGAAGTTTCCTTGTGCCCTTTGTAGTCAGTTTTCTTCCCCCACCCCCAGAGAATCACTGGTCTGATTTTTGTTTATATAATTTTTGCCTTTTCCAGAATGTCATATAAATGGAATCACTACTGTGTAACTCTTTATAGTACAGTGATATTGTGATTTATAATAAGTATATACTGTATTTGGTCTCTATCCTGTTCCTGGCAAAGAGCTCCTAAAACTCTTGAATTTCCTAAGAACAGTAACACTGTTTTTTGTTATTTATAACAAGCCCTTTCAGCCATGAATATGACTTTTGGAAAGCCCCTAATAAGAATGGGGGCTGGTTGCCAGAGGAATCAACCATGTGATTAAAGGGTTCCAACTTTCAGCTCCTCTCACCACAAACTCCTGGTAGGAGAGAGGGGCTGGAGACTGAGCTCAGTCACCAATGGCCAGTGAATTAATGAATCATGCCTATGTAAAGAAGCCTCCATAAAAACTCAGAAGGATGGTGTTCAGAGAGCTTCTGGGTTGGTGAACACGTAGAGGTGCTGGGACAGTAGTTTAGGAGAGGGCATGAAAACTCAGCACTCCTTCCCTCATACCTTGCCTTATGCATCTCTTCCATCTGGCTATTCCTGAATTACATCCTTCTATAATAAACCGGTAATCTAGTAAGTAAAATGTTTTCTTGAAGTTCTGTGAACAGCTTTAGCAAATTAATCGAACCTGAGGAAGGGGTCATGGGAACCTCTGACTGACAGCCAGTCTGTCAGCATCACAGATCAATACCTGGACTTATGATTGGTAACGGAAGGGGGATAATGTTGTGGGACCGAGCCCTTAGCCTGTGTAATCTGATGCTATCTCCAGGTAGAGTGTCAGAAGGGGACTGAATTGTAGGACGTCTACTTGGTGTCAAAAAAAATTGCTTGCTATGGGAAAATCACTACACATTTGGTGACCAGAAGTGTAAAAAATGAAGTGAAGTACTGAGAGTAGAGCAGAAACACCGGAATGTTTTTCCTCTACAGGTAAAACTGACAAAATTATTCTAAAATTCATATGGAGAAGCAAAGGATCTAGAACAGCCAAAAATTTTTTTAAAGAAAAAAGTTGGTAGACTCACACTACTTGAGTGTAAGACTTACTATAAAGCTACAGTAATTAAGATAGTATGGTACTAGTGAAAGAAGATACATAGGTCAATGGAACAGAACAGAATACAAAAGTATATACCCACACTTATATGATCAACTGATTTTTGACAAAGGTGCCAAGACAATTCAAGTTAAGTACAGCCTTTTCAACCAATAGAGCTGGAGTTGAAACAAAACCTTAACTCATACTTCTTCACCATATAAAAAATTTACTTGAAGTGGATCATAAACATAAATATAAAATCTAAAACTATAAAACTTCTATTAGAAAATTTGTGACCTTAGGTTAAGCAAAGATTTCTTAGAACCCAAAAAAGCATAAATCATTTAAAAGAACAAAACTGATACTTCATCAGAATTTAAAATTTCTGCTCTTTGAAAAATTCTATTAAGATAATGAAAATACAAGCCACAGACTGGAAGAAAATAGTTACAAAAACCAAACCTAATAAAGGACTTATATCCAGAATACAGGAAAAAGTTTCCTTTGAAAAAAGTTGGTCTAAGTTGAAAAAATTTTCTTTTACTCCTACTTAGTAATAGAAATTATTTGAAATCTTATTCCCAAAATGATAAATTTAATGTCTTATATTCATTCTTTGGTGTAAATGAATAACTAAGCTTCACTAATTAATTTTCTTCAGCCAACGGGTTTAACCTAACTACTGATTCAGGATTTTTAAAAGGAAATGTATCTTTTATCAAACATTTTTCTTGAATGTTTTAAATTTCTCCTTTAGAAAGTAATGATTAAAAGTTTACAACAGAGAAATGAGATGTAACAATAAATCTAATTTTATATTCAGACTGAATTCATTAATAAATTCTATTCAGTAATGTCAGAAACATATATTAGTTAAAGCAATTACATTTAAGCCTTCCTTCTATAACAGTAATGTCTTCTACAACCGACAGATAAGTTTAACATACTGAAATATATAATCATGTCTTCCTGCGGTTTCAGATTTCATTTCTTAGGCATGCCAGAAAATCAGACACATGTCAATTTTGCCACTCAATATTATCTTTGAAAATATCTGCCACATAAGATTGCTTTCCAACTAGAAAAACATGAATATTATTCCTGAGTTCTTATGCCCTACTTAGAACTTTCCATAGGAACAATAAATGAATTTTGATATGATACAATGGTCATGCTTAGCTCTAATCACTGAAAAAAGTTTCAAGAGTTTGGTTAATCAGTGAACCTTTAAAATTAACAATTTTCACCACTTTTACAAGATATTTATAATATCCAGAGGGATTTCCTTGGATACCAAAGCTTTCCAAAAAAAAATACACTGACTTCAAACAACTTTGGTAGTGCTTCTGACAATTTAAAAAGATAATTGCCCATAGTTCTGTTACTTGTCATTCC